CGGGCTCCCTGCTCAGCGGGAAGCCTGCTTCTCCCTCTCCCACTCCCCCTGCTTGTGTTCCCTCTCTCGCTGTGTCTCGCTCTGACAAATAAATAAAATCTTAAAAGAAAAAAAAGAAATACACAACTGTTCCCCAAGCGGACTTTAAGATGGATGCTTTCAGTAGAGGAAGGACCTCAAGTCTTACAGCACCTACGTCAGTAAAGCTGCTGTAACCGGTATCTGATATTAATCATTACCTGGGAGCAACATTTTAAGAATTTAAAATTTAACAAGCTGGCTGCAAAAGTGAACATTTAAAAAGTCAAAGTGGTAAGTGTTACGTTTTACCCCCCCTCAAAAAAATGCTTTTTTAAGAAAAATCAACCAAGCTATCAGTACTTTCATTAGGCGGGAAGTAGATGCTTTCTTAATTTAAAAGAAATGTGTTTTTCTCCTTCTCTCATTCTGAATTCCCTACTTTTAGGCTAAAATTACAGGTCATTCCTAATGTATGTCAGGAACACATGACTAAGGTGCTACAGGCGATATTCGAGCGTTGATGGCCATCCCAAACTTGACAGGATATTGCTTTTTTTAAAAAACTGTTCTGAGCAATTAGCCTCGCAGTTTACCCAAATTCCCAATCCAAATGGACACTCAGAATCATTTACTGAGAACAAAGTGGCCTGTGACGGACTCACAGCATGAGTGAGAAGTCCTAAGGCTTCTGAGGCTTTGGGGTTGCCTGTTTCCACAGCTTAACATAGCCTACTCAGGATAGGGGAGCATGAGATAACTTTTGACAAAGATTTTGTTTCACAAACTCTTAAGTGCATTTAAATACTTCTGAGAAAATCTTATAGACTTGTGCCATCTTTCTGCTCTTCAAACAGACAACCAACCCAACTTGGTTCAATTAGCATTTATATCACGTACTGGACCAGTTACAGCCACCTTATACGCTGAGAGTCAACCTTCCTGCATGCCATACTTGCGTGACAGATACATAAACCGTCCAAGGAAATCTGGTTGTCTAAGACAGATTAGTAAACCAAATCCCAACGTGCTATTAGCACGTCCGACGTACGCTTGTACAGAGATCGCCGACGGACAGAGGGCCCTGAGAACATCTCCACAGCGCTGAGTGGTACCAAAATGGGTATCAATAACGTTAACGCAAGACCCAACCACATTCCATAAAAGACCACCGCTCTGACCTACCTGCCAAAAAAATTAACTACAACTTAGAAAAACCCTGCTTTTAGCCAGCTGAGAACATAACTACAAATTCCAATTTGCCCGACCAGAAGTGGTAATGGGCCAACATGAGCATGACCCAAAGACTGCTTAGGTGATCTCCAGAAAAAGTACAAAATGATCCATCAGGGGACAGTGAGAAATTTTTAGCACTTCTACTTTTATCTGAAAAAATATTTGCTAATATTTAACATATGGAGTTAACGTTAAAGCCCTCACTGAGTCTCTGTTAAATGGCCATGTATCACCAACAGGCATTAAGTGGAAGGCTAACTCAAAGACGGTTGACAACATGCTGGGCCATGTGACATACAGTATTAGTAGGTGCTAAGCAATCTAGTTTTAACCAAACAAACTCTGATCAAATGGGCAAAGTAATTTTAAAAGATTCCTGCAAAAGAAATTATAATTGGACATAGCACCAAGCAGGAAAGAGGGTTGAGTTAAAGTTTCTCCTTATGGAAGTAAAAAGAACCTTTATTAGAAGATTTACAAGCAGATGGTCAAAAGAGAAAAACTGCAAAATTCATCAAAACTACCTTGTGAGTAAGTCTGTTTTCTATCAGTAACAAACAGAATGAACACTGCCCTAAGTGTAAAGTGCCACTGTTGCCTATTAGCTAACAATGGAATATGTGTATTCAATTTTTACATAAACAAAGATGCAAAACTCAAAATCTTTTACTGAGAGAATAATAGGGTTATTTTTAGAAACTGTAAGTTAAAAAAAACTACAAGTGAGAAAAAAATTACATGTTAATTACCAATCTAACAACACCCAAATGCTTTTAAAAGTTAAAGAGCAGTATGTTTGAACATGAACTGAAATAATACATGTACACAGAAGCAATGTTTTCTGTAACAGTAAAGAGGAAGAGCAAGAGAACTTTCGGCCTATACTCTACACTTAGGTCCTATACTCAAAGCTCTCTATCTAGATTAGACAAATACGCAAATAACTTTAATGTAAATGCAATAGTCACCAGTGCTGTCAACCAAGTATTTCAGGTTCTCCTTCCTACCACTGCACTTTCCTGTCTCCTTAAAGTTAGGGGAGGCCACGTGACTTGCTCTGACCAATGAAACCGGAACCACATGTCCTTTCTGAACAGAAACTTCCAAGCCTGAATGATTGGCTATACTCATCTTCCCTTTATGACAGTGACAGACAGTGCTCCAGATGGTGGCAGCTCTATCTGCCTGCCTGGCTGCCAAAGTGAGAATGAAGTGGCCTGTGACTACTTATAACATGAGTGAAAAGTCATCTGTTGTTTAAAGCCACGGAGGTTTGGGGGTTGTCTGTTATTACAGCTTAACTTAGTCTACCCTGTGGTAAGGTAGCATGAGGTAATTTTGATAAAGAAGGTGGAAACTCTAAGGAAGAATATTATGTTTCATTGAACATCTATCTGCTCAGTCTTATTAAGAGGGGGTGAAATTTTTAAAACCACTATTTTCCCCATTCAGTGACTAATAACTTTCAAGTCTGCCTATATAACACAAGCTTTTGGCCATTTTGTGTAAGTTCCTCTCAAAAGAATTTTAAGCTTTTACAAAAATCTTTTAGACAGAATTCAGCTTTTAGTTTATACACAAAAGCTTACCACTAAGTAATTCAATCCAGTTCTGGACCGTTTCTGGAGGTTGAGTCTCCTTAACATGCTTTAGAGCTTCATCAAGAAGAACATCCCCTGTTGGAGCATCTGACTTACAGATCACCTAAAATGTAAGCAGTAAGAATCAAATAATCCACTAATTCTTTCTTCTGACCATCTCTTTAGATGAAAAACTTAAACAATTATACAAACAGTTCATTATACTTAAAGTCCCTAGTGTGTTCATGCAGTGTCAAGGTTCAAATTTTAAATTAATTCTCTATTAAGAAATCCGACATTGGAAAGAAAAAAAAAAAAGATACCCAACATTTAAACCTAACCAGATTAGCCACAATCATGAATGCAAATAAAGTTACTGTGCAAGAATTAGTAAAGCAAAAGGCTAGAACAGTTTTTACTCACTGTTAATTCTTTTCATTGCTAAACCTTGGGCTATTTAATCAAGAAATTCATTTTTTAAACATTTCTAAGTTACGGAAACAAACTCAATTATATACAATTATATACTCAATTCAGTATGATAAAGGTGGCATTTTAGAGCAGTGGAGAAATGAATTTTTCAATAGATGTTATTGAAACAACTGGCTAACCAATTAGAATTAAAAGTTCAGTAAGACTTGGCTCCTCAGAGCTTATACCACAACGAAAGATAAAGATTTAAATATGAAATATAATTTAGGGGTGAGAAAGCTTTTTTCAAAATTGTGGCAACTAGCAGAAACCTTGAAAATACCAATAGGTTTGGTAACAAAATTTTTAAACACTACAAAACTTTTTAAAGCTAAGATAGAGAATTCATCTAAAAGTGGAAAAATACAAAGCCAGGGAATGAGGGAAAAAAATGCTATAGGGGCGCCTGGGTGGCTCAGATCAATTAAGCGTCTGCCTTCAGGTCAGGTCATGATCCCAAGGTCCTGGGATGGAGCCCCATTATGAGGCTCCTTGCTCACCAGGGAGCCTGCTTCTCCCTCTCCCTCTGCCTGCTGTTTTCCCAGCTTGTGCTCTGTCAAATAAATAAATAAAATCTTTAAAAAAAAGAAAAGAAAAAGAAAATGCTATATACTGCTTTAGCCAACTATTAGATTTCTGCAGCCTTCACTGAGTTCTTGGCTAAGCAACAAATTTCTAGTTGAAATTCCGTAACACCAAATGTTAATCTGTTATATTACTTTATGTTAGCTATTAAAATGTCATACAATTTTAAAACATTATTTTCTAAATGCAGTTCTCCCTTAAACTTGTCTTCAACATGTGTCCTTTACCTTTCTGCTCAATCTTCTAAAAGGCTATTTGTGAGACAGCGTGACCCAACAGAAATATAATTAGAATGACAAATGCAAGCCATAAAGCTTTTAAATTTTCGTAGTTATATTAAAAAAGGAAAAGAAACAGGTGAAATTTTAATATATTTTACTTAACCCACTATAGTCAAAATACTAACATGTAATAAATATTTTTAAATTGAGATATTTTACATTCTTCTTTTTTCAAGGTAAGTTTTCAAAAATCCAGTGTGTTTTTATTTACAACATGCCTGAATCTCTCACTAGCCACATTTCAAGTGTCTGGCTCACAGACCCATGTGGCCAGTGGCTATGGTATTGGCAGATACAGAACATTTTCATCATCACAGAAAGTTCTACTAGACAGTACTACTCTGGACCATGCTTTTTGTAAGGGGTCAGAGAGAGTACGAAAAAAGGAGAGCCATGGCAGAAAAAAGTTGTTTGTTTATACAATGTGGTCATGCCACCACTTCTGACCTCCCACTATTCCTTAAATTCACTGCAATCTGGCCTCAACACCCACCTCATGCCCACCCTCTGAGACGCGTCTTATATCAGGTCACAATAACCTGGGTACGGGTGGATCGTTTTTCTCATGAAATTCTGTCCCCTCAATCTCTCCCAGCTGGGACTACTCTTCTCCATCACCTCTGCAATTACTCCACTCAATCTAGTTATCTTTCACTTGGATTAAGTTTCCTAACTAGTTTTCCCAAACTAGTTTCAATCCATTCTCCTCACTGATCTTTTTAAAAGGCAAGTCTTACCATGTTATTTCAGTTTCTACTTAAAACTCTTCAATGCCTCAGGGTAGTTCTAAACCCCTTAACGAAATTCAGCAATCTGTGGCCCACTAATAAATATGCTCTGCCCACACCTTTAATTTCTATTCAGTATATTGCACCTTAGAGGGGAGCCTCATTCTTAAATATGAACAGTTAACCAAGAATGACAAGATACTAAAAGAAAACCTTCAACATCAAAGAAACCAAAAGACAGAAAGTAAAAACTTGAAGAAACATAAAAAAGAAATTTTCCAAAGAGTCATAATATTCTTAGTGATTTAAAAGAAGATATTATATCCATGAAACAAGAGATCGTGATAAAACAAAAACAAAACACAAGAAAAGGCTCCTGGAAATCAAAAACATTAGAACCACATTTTAAAAAAACTCAAAAGAGGGTTAAAAAAAGGTAAGGGAGGCCAAGCCAATGCCAATTATTTCTCAATAAAGCTAAGAAACTAAAAAGACTAGTCAAGAGGTCCACATCAAACTTAAAGTTCTAGAAAATAGAGCAAAGATATAAGAAATAGAAGAAAACTTGATAAAACCAAAACTAAACATTTCTAGATTGAAAGAACCCATGCATAATGAATTTATTTGAGAGAAAGAGAGGAAGAGCGTGTGCTTTGGGGGGAGGGGGGGAGGAAGCAGAGGGAGAGAAGCAGACTCCCCACCGAGCGTGGAGCCTGACCCTGAGATCATGACCTGAGCCAAAATCAAGAGTCGGACGCCGAACCGAATGAGCCATTGAGGTGCCCCATCATCTCCGTATCTCATTTAATGTAATCTCATCTACAAAGATTTACTGGGGATTAGGTTCCAGGGGTTAGGACCTGAACACCTCTTGGGGACCACTATTCAACTTGCTATAGCTCTCTATAGTTATTTCTTTTGGCATTTACGTCCATATTTCTAAATGAGCTTATACTGCCTTGTGCACGCTGTCAAATAAATAAAATCTTTAAAAAAAAAAAAAAAAAAGAAGGAAGGAAAATATCATAGGATATAACCAAACTCTGCAGGGCTAACATAATTGTAATAATATAAAACAATTGTTATGGTTTTGCAAAAAATTATGACGTAACTCTATCAGGAACTTTGGGGGTGGAGGTAAGTGGTATTAAGAGAGCCAAATGTTCCACTTTTTTTTTTTTTTCCTCATCTTTTCTAATAGAAAGTAAATAGCATTTCAAAGTGATTTATCAAGAGATAACCAGGGGGGCCTGGTTGGCTCAGTTGACAGAGCATGTGACTCTTGATCTTGGGGTTTTAAGTTCAAGCCACAAGATGGGTGTAGAGGTTATTTAAAAATAAAATCTTAGGGGCACCTGGGTGGCTCAGTCGTTAACGTGTCTGCCTTCGGCTCAGGTCATAATCCCAGAGTCCTGGGATCGAGCCCCACATCAGGCTCCCTGCTCCGCGGAAAGCCTGCTTCTCCCTCTCCCATGCCCCCTGCTTGTGTTCCCTCTCTCGCTGTGTCTCTCTGGTCAAATAAATAAAATCTTAAAAAAATAAATAAAATAACATGTTAAAAAAGGTAAGGGAGGCCAAGCCAATGCCAATTATATCTTAATAAAGCTAAGAAACTAAGAAACAGAAAGAAAAAAGACTAGTCAAAAGGTCCACATCAAACTTAAAGTTCTAGAAAATAGAGCAAAGATATAAGAAATAGAAGAAAACTGATAAAACCAAAACTAAACATTTCTAGATTGAAAGAACCCATGCATAATGAATTTTAATATATGTGCTGCCAAAGCAAGCACAGAATAATGATTTTTAAAAGACCCACATCAAGGTATATCGTACAATATCAGGAATAAACAGAAGATCTGAAATGCTTCCAGATAGGAAAACAGGTATCACACAAAGAATGAATATCAAAAGGGCACCAGACTTTAACAGCAACTTTGTATACTAGAGGGCAATGGGGAAATGACTTCAAAATTCTGTGGGAAAATAATTTAAATCTAACATTCTATTCCCAAACTGTCAAATGAAAATGAGGTACAGTAAAGAAATTTTCAGGCATGCAAAATATCAAAACATTTTCCTGCCACAAAGATGGAAAAAAATATTAGATCTAGAAACAGGAGGTTGAAAGCAGTAAAATGAGACAGGAAGTCCCAATAAAACCAAACCATAACCAGTCCAGACTGAAGCACAAGGCAGATTCTAATGGAGTTACTTAATGTATTTGAACATTTGAAAATTAATAATGCTAGTTTTTTTCTGAGGGAGCATATAAGAAAAAAAAGGCACAGAGAAAACATTTTTTAAAAAGAAAATTATTAAAACTCTAAGAAAAAAAAATGAGGGGTGCTTGGGTGGCTCAGTTGGTTAAGCATCTGCCTTCGGCTCAGGTCATAAGATCCCAGGGTCCTGGGATCGAGCCCCACGTCGGGATCCCTGCTCAGCGGGGAGCCTGCTTCTCGCTCTGCCTCTGCCCGCCACTCCCCCTGCTTGTGCTCGCTCTCTCTGTCAAATAAATAAAATCTTAAAAAAAAAAAAAAATCGCATGAGGAGTACATTCTGCTATACAATGTTTATTCTGCATAGAACTTTCAAGAAAGCCATTAATGTGGCTTTCTTTCCTATAGGATTATGGCATATCAAGCAAAAAATGTTCAGTTCTGACCTAAAACTTTGTAGATTTCATTAAGATGCTGTATTAAAGGAAAAAACAGTTTTGAAACACCATGGCCCCAAGAAACACAATGACAGACTAGAAGAGAAACAGTCTTGAATACCTGAGATGGAGGCTGGAGTTAAAAATTCTAAAAAATAACTATTTACACAGACTTTTACAGTAGAGAAGGTAGAGATCTAAAAAGTATTCATATTCTGCTAAAAAAGTCCAACAGCCTATAGATAGTTAACTTGCACGGTAACACCTCTGAATTTTAAAACAAAGTTATGTCAAGTCTTTCCAAAGTATGGCTTTCAGAAGCAGCAAATGAAGTTTGGAGTCTTTCTGAATATGCAAGATGCAGGGGCCAGTGAGTCTAACAATGAATTAATTACATTAGTCATTATGTACCAAGAACCAAGAAACAAAGAATGCAAAAAAGACATGAAAACATGATTTCCAATAAAGTCTTAACTTTAAAATCAACTTCCTCTTTAATTCTTTAAATCTATTAACAGAAACTTCCATTTTTAGTCAGCACAAACTCTTTAAAAAGGATATGTTATTCAGCACTCCTCTTACCTTTCTTGTTAACAGACTTTTACGTCTCATTCCACAAGCCTCTAGTTGTAACCTTCCTCTCAGTGCTAATTCAATTAACATACAGCCACGTAATCCAGATGATATACAGTCATTCCAAAATGATGTGTAACCCTAGTTAAAAGAAGGGAGGGGGGAGAGAAAACAAAATAGCTAATTTACTTTGAATTCAGACTCAAAAACAGAAATATCCTTAGCCAAAGTTATTTTTGGTGCCTTTTACCTTTCATATCTTTTCATAATTATAATTTTAAATAAAATACTAAAAAAATTAGTTATTATACATTACTAATCTAGATTTTTCAGGTGTTTGTTGTCTTTTCACCACTAATCCTTATATGCAGATAAATAACTTTGGAAGTCAGAGGTTTAAAAAGATAATGTCTTTCATTCTTCATTAAGTTCCATGTTTAGGAGGCTCTTTCAGATTGCAAGGACCTGGGCTCATTCACTCAGTTAACCCCTGATGATAGCGGTTTATTATTAGTACGTGTGGGCAAGTTTAAAAAGTTCAGGAAAAACAATCTAGCCCACTGTGGCCTCACAGAGAATTAAAAAATCATTCATTCAATGCTTTTTTAGTATAAAAACACAAAGCTAATTTTAGAATATATTAGGAAATTTATGAGGGCCCATGCCTAAAGTTCGAATAACAAGCATTGTAAAGTGATCAGATTGCCCCTCCCCACCCTCCCACCCCCAAGAGACATTTAAGGGCAACATCCAAGGTGGAAGAACAACCAGACAGAATGAGACTGACAGACACCTAGAGATCTGGGGATACTCAAATCAATCAGATGAAGTCTGGGCACTTTTTCAGTGAATAATTGGAGTTCTCCAAAATATGAAGCCATGAAGTCTGCCATCTACTAATTTAAACTATCCAACTCAGGAAAAAGCAGAACTTGGGTTCTCAGAACAAGGTAACATATAATCTTGGTAGGAGAGAGAGCAGGCTAATTGATCCTGTGAAGAACATTCTCTGAAGAACGGATGACCTAGGATGGGGGGGGGCGGGGAACCTAGCCCCTTGATTCTGTCATTCTCTCAAGGTCAATCTTGGTACTTTGCCAGGTCACAGTGGTCACCCTGTGTATCAGAAGATAACTGACCAACCATCAAGGTCCATGGGATTCCACTATTGACACAGGGACTTAAATTAGCCTAATGAAACTACCACTCCTGAGGGGAAAGGCTTTGGGAAAGTGAGAATCTAGATTAAGGGAGCCACAAAGGAACAAACAAAATATCGGTTTAAAGAGGCCAATTTAAATATGAGGCAGGGGAAGCAAAAACTGACTGGATTTGAGAGAATACTTTTAAACTTAATAAATGGTAGGGGTCTGATTAAAATAAGATTGCCACGGGTAACCTGCTTCTCCCTCTCCCTCTGCCCCTTCCCCTGCTTGTGCTCTCTCGCCCTCTCAGATAAATAAAATCTTTTAAAATAAGACTGTCAGAGGTTTAGCGACATGGTAAGTTACAGAGGTTAGGTAAAATCCATGGTCTGTGTATCTATGCCAACTTAAGTCCTGCGAAGCCTGGGAATGGATTCCACATGAAATCAAAGTTACAGATGTCTGGCTTCTACTGACCTGGACATGGAGCTTAAGCTCCCAAGTAAGCCTTTACAAACTGTAAACAACAGAACACACCTCGTGAAGCAGTAATGCATGTGGACAGTACCACCCCCTGTCTCCGTCTACAAGCCTGGAAATTCCGGATGAACAGTACTGAAAAACTCACATTTGCTAGCAGAGGATGAAATATTATGTCTCAACCTCAACTGCTCCCAAGGTTATGGTATACCCAGAGAGGTTAGCAAAATGGAGTCTTTAGTAACAGACTTTAAAGATCTGCATTTAAGTGAATGGCTTTGGGGCAGTACCACTAAAAGACATACTTAAACAGAATTAAATTCACAGGGGAAAGCTGACAAATGAGCACGGACAGTTCTGTAGCAAAACTGATCAGGAATTAACCAGGCTGGGGGAGGGGAGAGAGAGGAGGAATACTAAAAAGGGCAAGATTAATTCTAAATATTTGAATGGTATAACTGGATCAGATGACAATGCCACCCCTGAAATTAAGTATATTAGAGGAAAAGCAGTAGATTGTATGAAAGTCAAGTGAATCTGGCCGTGACGTAGACCAGCAAGATTCTGCAGTGAATTCATGCCCCAACACATGTACGACAGACCAGCAGTGGTGACAAAATTACTCAGTTACAAATGCTAAGGAGCCCTTTAATCTTTCATCTCTAGTGCTAATCTTAAAACTACATCTCATCAATCCCAAAACATACATTTTAAAAGCTTATAATATATGGATGATGAATATTAACTAAATCTACTTTGGTAAGCATTTCACAATATTTGTAAATCAAACCATCATGCTCTACACCTTAAATTTACACAGCGATGTATTTGTCCATTTTTCTCAATAAAACTGTGGGGGGAAAAAAGTTAAGTATCTCTAAAATTGGGATGCAGTTCAAAGTAAGATGGTACCTTAAAGGAAATGTCATATTACAGCTACTGAGTTAACCTAAACCCATGGAGGAGAGAAGACACATGTGGCATAGGCCCCATACTCCAGAGCAGTGTAGTGATGAATTAGGGTCTAACCTGTCAGTTACTTGGAGTACTGAAAACTTGGTAACAAGACTGCATAACCATATCCAGGCATGCCACCAATCTAACCTACCTACCTTGTAAAAAGATTTTGTAAGGGCAGGTCAGTAACAACCACTGCCCAAAGGATTCTGTCCTCAAACCATTACCCCCTGAAACAAATTACAAGAACCTGTAATCCAGGTAGGATGGTTATATACTCAGGGCATGCTGAGTTTGTGCACCCATAAACATTTACAGAAAAATTTCTGTTAAGCAGAGCAAGCCAAGCACATTAAGAATAATAGTTAAAACAGGTGAGGAAGACCTGGCAATATAAAGCAGTTTATGATTTGGCTAAAACGGCACAACTCTGTACATCTGCAACCATGTTGTGAGAAGGTAAAGAAGCCCCAATAATGATTATGTATTCAGTGATACCACACACTCTTGCACTTAGAAGTCAGTGATTATTTCAGATCCCTAAATGGGTTTGAGATTCTACCGCCAGCAATGGAGTATCTTCATGCCTGTGGTTGGTCTAAGGATAGGTACTCAAAGCTCAGGGTCACATTAAGGGAGGACCACACTGGCCAGACTATCCACTTACTTATGAAGCAGCAGCAGCTGCACTAATACTAGCAGCCATCGGACCTTGAGGACACCCCCCACTCGCTGCAGAAGAAACAACTGGGGGTTAGAAGACCACAAGAAAACTATTTTGGGACCCTACAAGTTTGTGATCAGAAATCAGTTCCAGTATTTTCAAACACAAGGATGGGAGAGGCAGAGATATTCCAAGCAGAGATGTTCCCACAAAATCCAGAGAAACATGACTTCATTAGGTTCACGAGTCCAAAACAAGAGGGGACGTACAAGAATAGAGGATGCATTAAGACCCCAATATGATCATACTGATGAGCTGGGATGCTAGAAAATCAAAAACAGGCACATTTAAAGATACCATGTGCAGCTCACAAGGCTTCCAACAAAACTTAGAAAAGAACACAAGAGACAAGGACTCCAAGGGCCCTGGAAACTAATTCAAAGCACCTCTACTTGAATAACAACAAATAATAACCAGGTAAGTAGAAACTTTCCCAATGAGATGCCAGCTAAATTAATTAATTACAGAGTTCTGCTTCAATTAATCTTTTGTTGTTCAGAGTCCCTGGCATCACAGACTCACTCAGACAAATGGCCAAACTTTAGGGCAGACCTCCTGAGGCTGTGGAACATAAACTGAGATAAATTATCTTTATCATATAGTATGCCATTCAGAAAAAATGAATGGTACAATAACAAATGAGGCAATGGCCTTGGGGACATGCTCTGCAGACACAATTCTTCCCTTGGTGGGCACTTCCAAGGTCGACATTTAAGGGAAAGAGACTATAAAAAGCCCAACACTGCTACATGTCTAAGCAACAACCTCCAACACAGCTTCTTCTCAGTGATAAGATGACACTTATTTGGATCTCTATTTGCCTGATTCCCTTTATTTCTCTTAAGTGGCTCAATTTGAATGGGGGAAAAGGGTGTTTTATTGGGCCCCTAAAAATGCAAACACTGAGTTCTCACCATTTGAGTTACAAGCTCCAGAAGTGCTTAATGAGAAGCTTTATGTTAAGAATCGACCCCACAGGGGCGCGTGCGTGGCTCAGTCAGTTAAGTATCTATCTTCTGTATAATGTTGAATTCTGGTGTGATCAATGTTTTTAGTTTCTAAACAGACTTTCCTCAGCGAAAGAAAATATCAGGTTACCAAAACATTTGGTGTTTACTACCAAACCCAATCCAAAAGTTGTACTAGTGAAGTTGTACTAGTTGAACCACTCTTGGTTCACATACCCTATTTTGAAACTTTGCCCTCATCTTCAGATTCTACAGAAAGACACAACTGTGCCCTGTCACATCTACTTGGACCAGGATGGGCAAATCAAAGTTTCCCTCCTGGCAATCTAACGTGGGGACACAGAGGCTGATGGGCACTAGCATATGAGTTCTAACTGATTAGTGGCTTGCGATGCCACCGGCCATTTTGTTCAAACACAGTCTGACAATGAAGGTAAACGGAAAGGAAAACAGAAGAGAGACGCAGAACAAAAATGAGAGAACACACAGCACTGAGGCAAACCAAGACATACAGAAACAGACATAGAGAGACAAATACACATACAGAATAGCATCCTAACAACAGAACCTTTCCTATGTGTTTGGGCTGTACTCCTGAACACTTGCATCTCCTTGAAGGGATTTTTGTTCTAGCAAGGAAGTAACTTTAATTTTTTTTTTAAGAATTTATTTACCCATTCATGACAGACAGAGAGAGAGACAGAGAGGCAGAGGGAGAAGTAGCCCAATGCAGGACTCGATCCCAGGACCCTGGGATCATGACCCGAGCCAAAGGAAGACGCTTAACTGACTGAGCCACCCAGGCACCCACAAGTAACTTCTAATAAAGCTAAAAGGAATTTAATGAATTGACATTATGTATCTGAC